CATTTTGAAGATAACAGCACTCAAACTAATCTGTTGATATATACATTTTCTTCTTTTATTTATCATTGTATTTCCTTATAGCTTATCAGCCTCTGACACATATTAGGCATTTACTGGGTTGCATTTGTCAATATAAATGAAGTCCACAATACATCAATCCTAAGAAGACAATGATCCCTTTATGAACTAAATCTTTCTGTACAATACATAGAAGACTGATGCAACTTAAAACTAGTTCTCATTAAATGTTTCTAATTACTCTAACTTCATTAAGAGAAGTTAAACTAATAGTTTTGAGCATCTACAACATGTCAGCCTAACAGACATTGATAAACATTATCTCATTTAAATATTAGTGTGGGGCCGGGGAGATGGATCAGTAGAATAAGCGCTTGCCTGGCAAGTGTAAGGGCCTGAGTTCAATCCCTGGTTCCGCCAAAAAATAAATAAATAAATAAACAAACAAACAAACTTAGTGTTTAAAAGAGAGTTGTCACTTGTTTTACAGACTTAAGAAACTGAGATTCCGAGATATTAAATATATAGATCACCTTGTATATCATGTCAGAGCTCAAACTGAAACAAGACTTCAGCCCACGCTCTTTGCAGTAAAATCTATGTTTACGCATGTTTAAGAAGCTGGATGGTGACACAAGAAGGCTTCAGCAGAAAGATTACTCAGGGTTCAAGGCCAGTCTGAACTATACAGAGAGACTGTCTCAAAAACACCCATCCCAAAAAATATGGGTAAGTGTTCAAGGATCAGTCACAATACTTTGCCTCTGGGTCAGACTGCAGTAACATCTGTGTCCCTTCCTTCCCTCATCTCTAAAATGGGAATCATAGGGTAGTTATTAAAGAATATAAAATAAAATAAAAAAGAATAATAAAGAATATAAATCAAGGAGAGGTTAAAATGGGTTATGTATGTGTACGTGGACCAACTTCCCACGATGAATGTAATCATTATGTACTAATAAAAGTTTTTAAAGCTTAGGTAATTTTTTAAAAAGAATATAAAGCAAGCCTTACATAGTGGTGCATGCCAGCTACTTGGGCAGCTTTTTTTTTTTCACTATGCAGTTCGGGCTCTTAGTGATCCTCCTGTTTTCAGCCTCCCCAGTGCTGGGATCACAGGCATGTGCCACCCTGCTTGGACTCTGTCACCAGCATGGCATGTGGTACCTGGGATTGAACCCTGGTCCACTGCGCTTGCCTAAGCAGGTGCTTAGTCCACTGAGCTATCTCACCCAACTTGGGCAGCTCTGGGGGATGATCACCTGACAAAATGAGTCTTATTCCAGCCTGGGCAACTCAGGGGCACTGTCTTTCAAAAAACAAAAAAAGGAAAATTATATCAAACAAAACTGAGAACCAGAGCAATACAGTCCTACATTAATGTAAACAATTAAGTTGAACATACTTGGTGCACACGTGCTCTTTTTTGAGGGCTAAAGCCTGCATTAAACTACCAATTCACACTAATCTAAACTTCAATAACAAATTCATTCCTAGTCAAGTACACTGATGCACAATTAGAATCCCTCCCACTTGGGAGTCTAAGACAAGAGGATCATAACTTTAAGGCCATCCCAAGGAACAAGCAAATAAAATCAAGACAGACAAAATTAAAAAGGGTTGGGAATTTAGCTCAATGAGAGTCCCTGACTAGCACTTGCAAGGTCCTAAGTTCAATCACCAGTACTGTAAAACATATAAATTAATTAATTCTCATGAATGACATTATTAACTACTAATTTGATGTTCAAGTTATTTCAGTTACCCAGACAGGTTTACAGTTTACTCATATATTTCAAGCAATTTCATCAAAACAAAAATCCCAAAGCTGAGAACTGGGCACAGAGGTCAGTGACAGTACTTGCTGAACGCATGATCAAAGCCCTGTATGCAGTCCCTACTACTGTAAAATAAATTTCCATAGTTGACTGACATCAAATAGATCCTCCTCTCAAAACGTTTCATGAAAGGAAAAAGCCTTGAAAAGTCATACTTTTCAACTGCCAAATGGCAAGATTAGGTTTTCAACTAAGAAATTATTTCCATCGATTCTATTATTGATCCAGCCATCCGTTCAACATATTGAATTCCTATTAAGTAAAAGAAATATGTGAGAGCAAATGTAAATTATTTGACTTGTCTGTCCTTTTTACCTACTAAAAGTTATAATAAATGTTCTACCTCAAAGATTTATTACTAGGCTAGCCAGGTGTAGTGGCAAATGCCTATAATACCTCAGAGACTAAGGCAGGAGGATCGTTGCAAATTCAAGACCAACCTTGGCTATAAAGTGAGTTCAAGGCCAGCCTGAACTGCATTGTATAGCAAGATCCTGTCTCAGAAAAAAAAAACAAAAAAGAAAAAAAAGATTTATTACTAGGATCAAATGAGGTACTGAAATACAAGAGGCATTTTCATATAAGGTTATTAAAAAAATTGGGAAAAAGTTTATACAGGAGTTATCCTCACAACTACAAGCAATGTAAGAGTTTATCATATCATTTAATATAACATTTAACAGCAAAAGCTGGGTTTGATCCCCAGTACCACATGCCATGCCAGCCCAAGAACCCAGGGTGCACAGTGCCAGCCAACAAAACCAGGTTTGGTGGTGTACATCTGTAATCTCAGCACTAAGAGAGGCTGAGCAGGATGATCACTAGAGTCTGAGCTGCACAATGAGACCTTGTATCAAATAAATAAATAAGACTTTAAAAAAATTTTTTTAAATGAACAGTGCAAAATATCTTGATATTATGTTCAAGTATTAAAGTGATAAATTTTGGCTGAGGAGAAAGCTCATTGCCTGTCTAGCAAGTACAAAGTCCTGAGTTTGATTTCCATACCCCCCACCACAAAAAAGTGATAAATTTAAAAGTACAATTACTTTCTTTAGAAAGCTTACATTCTAGTAGGGATTTAAAAAAAAAAAAAAAGCCTCTCAAATAGCTGTAATACAATGTAGATTTAGCAAGTACTAGACATAGTACTTAAGACTTATAAGGATTCCACGCGAGAAAAAGAATGTTTCAGACAAATGGTAGATTTTATAGTTTCATAGGAAAGAAACAGATTTTAAGGTACTAAAGGGTAGAATTTCCACAAAGATAATGAGAAAGGCTTTCCTTAAGGGAAAAAACTACAAGAAGGTCAAAGCAAGTAGGCATATAACATTTGAGCAACCCCACTTCACATTGCTTTAGTTTAGCTAACAAACAGCACATGGGGCTGGGGAAACAGCTTGGTGGTCTAAGTGCCCGCCTGGCAAGTGCAAGAACCCAGGTTCAATCCCTGGTACCACATGCCACGCCAGCCCCATACATAAATTAAAAATTTAGGACATATGGCATAAAGTAATTTTTTAAAAATGAAGAGGGTAATATTGATGTGAGTTATGCAAAGTTTTGGGGGTGGGTTTGTTGCTGTTTTGGGGTTTTTGTCTTGTTTTTTTGAAATAAGGTTTTGCTTTGTAGTACAGGGCTGGCACTGAACTCACTATGTAGCCCACACTGGCCTCAAACTCTCAAGAAATCCTCTTCCCTCAGCCTTCAGAGTACTGGAATTACTGGAATATATCACCATGCCCCAGTAAGATTTAAACTTTGATGGGCTTTGAATGATATTTTAAAATTTATTCTGGGCTGGGGACATAGCTCAGTGACAGAGCACTTACCTAGCAGGCATGATGCCCTAAATTCTACCCCCAGCACTATCAAAACTAAATAAGAAACAAACAAATGAACAAACAAAAAACTATCCTGGAGCCAACAGAAAGTCACTGAGTAGCCAGGCATGGTGGTGCACACCTATAATTCAAGCACTCAGGAGGCTGAGGTAGAAGGATCATTACAAGTTCCAGACCAGCCTGGGCTACAAGTGAGCTCAAGGCCAGCCTGAGTTGCACAGCAAGATCTTGTCTCAAAATGACAAAGGAAGGAAGGAAGGAAGGAAGGAAGGAAGGAAGGAAGGAAGGAAGGAAGGAAGGAGAGAGAAAGGTTACTGAGTATTTCCGAGAGAAAAATGACCAAAAGATGGTATAAGACCTTTGGATTTTAAAAGTAATGACACAGAACTAGGAGTAAACACTTGTCCAGCATGCTCAAGGCCCTGGGATGTAGTCCTAGTACTGAAAGATGGAAAGGGGAGCAATTATGAAGAAGACTGACTTTATGGTGAACAGGCTGAAAGCAGCAAGTGGAGTTCGGAAGTTAAGATGCACACAGTGAAGGTAAGAATGAAAGGTGAAGACCTAGGGAAAAAAGGATTAGAAATGTAAATGTAGAGCTGGATATGGTGTTGCACAGAGGGAAGAGGATCACTAGAGCTTGGGGGGGGGGGGGAGCGCATATACCTGGAATCCAATGCAGGACATAGTGCTTTCTAGGCAGGTCTGCGACACTAAGCTCTCTTCCGCCTTCCAGAGAGAGAGAGACAGAGAGAGACAGAGAGAGACAGAGACAGAGACAGAGACACAGAGACAGAGAGAGAAAGAGACAGAGAGAGACAGAGACAAACGCCATCCCTTTTCAAGGAAGCAATCTGAATTTACCAATGAAACTAAGATAACCCAAGTGAAATATCTATAACTACCAAAGGTTTAACTACTGAAGGTTAATAAAAACTTAGCTATAGCTCCATCTTCAAATACTACATATAAGATAACGTAATACAAGATTTGGGTTTCTACTCTACAGTAATGAGATTTAAGTTGTTTTCTAAAGCTAAGGCCCATCATTCCATTTGACATTATTTTTAATTCATTTGAACTAAGTTTCTTGAATTAAGAAGCGCTTTCGATGATTTTTGTTTTGTTTTTCCGAGAATCTAACTCGGGACGGCGCTTATGCCGCTAAGCTATATTCCCAGCTTTCGATGATCTAAATAAAAACGCTGGTTAAAATCCTTAGTCCCACAATATTCAGAGCCCTCCTCCAAAACACACACACACACACACACACACACACACACACACACTCGCCTACCACGGGCAGCTTTTCCATTTCTTCACGTCCCCTGGCTCCACGGGCGCCAGGAGCCTTCGGGTGCGAGTGCCGAGCACAGGGTCGCAGGCCGCGCAGGAGTCCTGGGTGCGGTCCCCGGGGAGCCCTGCCCGCCCGCTGGCCCCGCGCCCGGCCGGCTCGGCTCGCAGGAGCACACAGCCGTTTTCATTCCCTGACACGCCCCTCTCCTCAGGACCTCTTCCTTCTCCGCCCAGCACATTCCTCAGTCAACGGTCGGCGTCACCACCGACGTGTCGCTTCACCTGCTCGCCCAGCTGCCCGAGCGTCCCCGGCGCAGTCCCCGCGTCGCGCCGACCTCGCCTCAGCCCCTGAGCGCCGACTCTCCGGCGCCCGGCGGCCCCCGCGCCCGCCCTTGCCGGCGGCCCAGGA